GCGGTGCCATTGTGGGGTAAACAACTTTTGCGGCTGTCGGGTAATTAAAGAGGCCGCTCAACGTTGCGGTTTATAAATGGCTGAAATTAAAACGACAATATAAAGCTGTCAGCGACACTTTGAGTTGGGTCAATTGTGTCTTGGACAGATAAGCCAGGGATTAAGCGACTAAGCAACAGTTTACAAAACCGGAAAGACGATGAGGAATGAGCCGGAGATAAGCGACAATAGAGCTTAGTCGAAGCAAAGTGACACCGGTAACTCCTAGGGATAAATGAATATTCAATTAAATTGCACAAATTAATCGATTTACATTTCTCTTCAACATTCCAAGTAAATGGAAATTGGTCTTGGAATGAAATGTAAGCAAGATTAAGGAGGTCTTAGACGGTACTATTGAAGAAAACTTTAAAATTTTCAAGGCAAAAGATAATTCCTGAATGAATTTAAAAGGGAAAACTTTCATTTAAAATTTTCTTAAGAAATCCAGTAAATCTTGGTATGAAAAGGCAATGAGTTTCGTTTAAGTGAAGCCTTGAGCATCGTTCAGGAATTTTCTCAGTGAAAAGTGGCTGTGAATATCCTCCGACTTGAATCCTTTTTGGGAAGTCAACTGTGGCCGTAAGTACAAGACACGGATACAGGGCTAAATAATTGCCTTTTCACTCGGACAGCCTTCCCTTCTCTGCCCGAAAACCGGTAGACATTTTCGATGGTGGCCATAAATCCCAACTGGCTGGCCGAATGTGTGTCAGCTTAGCGTTTAAAAGAACACGAAGAATGCTACGGTAATGCCAAAATAGCCAATTTCATGGCTAGTGTAAATCAAACACACCTGCAATTAGGTCCACACCGACACGGACACCCACGTACAAGAACACCCACCTGAGGGCATTTGAGGAGCGGACAAAGCTATTTAGGCAATGGCCCAAGAAACAATTTCTGGCAATAGCCAGGCAACTCATTAACATGCAGCACTGAACCTACACTGATCAAAAAAATTTTCACACTTCATTTAAAAAAAAACAAGGTTCTTGTGAAAACTTTAATTTGTATATAAATGTCAAAGTTGAATGTTAAAGCTCTCCAAGGAGGTGCCCTGCTCTGGGATTGGCTTTTATTAGGCTTTAAAAACTTGCAAAACGTGAACTTTTTGGCAATTTGGCCACGTATTGCTTGAAACTTAGACGTGATGAAAACTTTGTTGTGAAAAAAATAATAGTAAGATGAGTATTTTTTGGGGAAAAGAAGTGCTGTCTAAGTTTGTTTGTATCTTACAGATATTTTATTATTATGTAAACCAAGATGAGAAAATTATGCCAAGCATATCCTGTACTTGTAATAAAATGTGTAATGAAGTATAAATCATGAACACTAATATTAGGGACTTTAATTATAGTGTATATCAAGTAGTATTAGTAGTATATATCAACTTAAAATATACTTTAAGGTATACAATTATCCTCATTTTACATGCATTTTGACTTTTTATCAAACACTTTAAACCTCAGTCTTTTTAGGGTAAATTGAAATTCTTACAATTTTTAGCAGTGCACTTTTGCTCAGGGCCTTTTCCAATCTTAAACCATTGTCTGGCCGGCGTGCTGTTGTTGTTTGACGTTGGAGTAGCTAATTTTTAGGGGCCCATGTGTGCGGGTGGAGGACTAACATAGAGGAGCACTCTTTCCCCCCCAAATCCCGGTGTTGTAGTGTCTGTAACTGTATCTGACCAGCCATTAAACGCAGCCCTGGAAACACGGCTCGGGCATGCTAAAAGGGGTCGGATAACCGGTCTAACCCCTGGCTATGCTGTGGGGCCCCGGGATGTGGGGGCTCTGAAAAAAAGCCTGCCATAAACCAAAAACTGTTGAAAGTGGCGCAATGCCTAAAAGTTACCAAAGCAGGCCCTTAAAACTTGCGACACTGCCACCAGAGATAAAATAGCCGTTGGCAAGAGGATATATGCAGTGGAAAAAGTGCATTCAAGGGTCCTTTTGCCTAGCCTCTTGCTTTGAGCGTGGCCAAAATGAAATCGAGTCATGGCGGCGGAAGCAATTGTATGCTCTTTAAGGCGCCTCAAAGGAGGATTATGGGAAATCATAAGCCTGTCCCGTGCGGCAAAATGAAATGCAATCATCTCAAGAGAGATTGCTGGGGAAGTCACAAGTATGAATAGAGGTGGAGATATTAATACCTATCTGCTGCTTTGTCAAGGTAACTTTGACTCATCTCCGGATACTGTGTAGTTGGATTTGCTCAAAGAAATAAATTAAAAGAAGCCCCACATACCTTTGAGAAATTGTATTCTGTTACACAGCGAAAATAAAAGGTTTGATGAGCTAATATCTTAGATAAATATAGATTGTACCAATCTTATTAAGCAAAGTGTAAAGTTCTAATATATATTTTATGCATTTAAACATTTATTAATTAAAAAAGTCATGTGCTAATAAATTCATATAACTTCCGTTGAGTGTAGGCCAAGAATTTATCGCTTCCATCTTCCATAACTCCATTGATGTATTGCTCTCAAAGAAGCCAAAGATGTCCTGCGGAGTGGCATTGATTACCAAACGTGTCCTGTTGAACAGTCGAACAACAGACAAGAGCGAGGATCCCAGCGAGGGTCCAGGAATGTTGCACTCCGCCCATCCTTCAGGCAATACTACGGCCGGAAAAAGGGACTCCTAATGAAATGAATGACTCCACTGTCCATTGGTCCCGGGGGTCTGGGCTGCCATTTAATTCAATGACGGACAACAAAAGCATTGCCATTGGGATGCAGTGAGAAAAGTGCCAAATATGTGCAAGGGAAGCCACCTCTTTCATGACCCCTCTAGCTCTTTGCACCGACAAGGAACACCCACCAACACAGCCGTCCAGCCAGCAGCAACGTCATACAAAACAATTTCCCCTGGAGAGTTTCCATGTTCAGTTATTCGTATGTGAAAAAGCGCATCTGTTGTTGATTGTGTGAAGTTCCTTTCAATCGTTTGTTTGTCCCTTCGTTTTCCCTTGGTTGTCGTTGTGTTGGTGTTTTGTTTTTTGTTGCTTGTTTGTTGTTTATTCTTATGGGTGCTATGGCTATTTCTGCTGTTGTTGTTGCTGTTGCCTTTCAAGCCGTTAGTTTTGGTTGTAGTTGTTGCGGGTGTTATTGCTGTTATCCTCTACGAGCGAATGCCTGCAGCTTAGATCGCTTTTAGCTTGTTTCCTGCCACACTAGAAGGGGTATTTCTAGTTGGTAACAAAGGTTGGTGACGCTTTTTGAAAAGTCACATGCTTTAGCCTATTAGCTTTACTTTAGGAAACCATTGACACGTAATAACTTGGAAGAACAATAATCAACACCTAATAATATTATGGCTGTACTTAAATATATACAAAGTAAGAGGAGTATCTTCAATTGTATTGTTAATTTTTGTAAATAAAATTACAGAGTATAAATGAGCCAAGCCAACTCCGGTGTCTCTCAAAAGATATTTCACTTTCAGGGCTTCCCCTTAAACAATATTAAATAAATTTAATTTCTTTGGTTTTATAATTAAACAAAAAATATGAAATGGCTTAGACAGATTCCCTTTACTTCCCTCAAGGCCATTTACTAAAAATGTCTCACACATGGCCCACATCAAAGATTTTTAGAAAATCCTTTTACCATTGTACACAATATATTTCTATGGTTTTGCAAAACCCTTAAAACTGTGAACTAAATGCTAGTTAATAGCAAAACAACTCTCGAAAGCCCACTGTAAAATAGTTCGATTTAGCAGCTTGTATTTTAAGCACGCTAGATTTACCTTGGAAAATACACACATTTCTAATAAATCCCAATACAAAGTACATACAAAATTCGTTTTCTGATTTTCCTCTAAGGATTTTCACTTCCACATGCTGCATCGCCTGGACATTTCGTTTATAATCCTTGCTGTGCATCTTTGGAAACAATTGCATCTTTTGTGCAAATAACTTTATAGAACGCCACCGAAAGGAAAAAAAAAGTCCAGCTCAGGACCTGTTTCGGAGGAAGCCAGAAACGTTGACATTGAATGGGCGTGGGTGGGAATGTGCCAGGAGGTCACTGCTGTGCATTGTGCAATTTATTTATTGCACACAAAACTTTCCTGAACGCCAGACAGAGAGTTACAGGGCGAAAGGGAGGAGTGGCAGGAGGCGACAGCCAAAGGATACTGCTGCGAAAATGAGATAGTCACTGGCATTGTTTTCCCGAAATGAACGGAGTAATGTCGACCCGGGGGAACGTCAACAGCTCGCAGTAATAAGTAGCCAGCTAGTGACATTATAGTGCTCTCCTGTGGCAGCTCTCCGGATCAGTTGAGTCGCTCGCTTATTATAATTTATGGCGGCAGTTCCAACGAGTTTCTAAACAAGCCAGAAATCTAAAATCTTTGAAGCCATTTCCTACCCGAATAAATTTCAATTCAAAAATTAAACCTTAAAGCCGGATCCACTGGATTCCAGTGACGTCAATGCGAGAGTAAATTGCCTAGGCAACATTTCAGCCAGGCGTCGCTAATCCGCGGCACTTAGCAAACAAATTGCCCCACATAAACAATTCTAATTGAGATGAACGATATGGCCGTGTACTTACAAACATACAGCCAGGCAAACCATTCAATCGGATCGCTCACACTCCACCAACTATGTTAAATGCAAAGTAAGTTATAACTACACAGGGATAAATCGGATATAGGATTGGTTTGAGATAACTGGGAAACAGAAAAGTGATAGGAAACTAACCTGGGAACTGGGAAACTTTAAACTCCATTCAACTCAAATATTTTCTTGTTTTTTTGAGAATTAATTTTCCACAAACCATATTTCTAAGCCTTGCAGCCATAGCTTTTCTATAGAAAACCTAACATCATTCATACATTTTTTTTCTGTGCTTGGGCGTTTATTTGGCTTTAGCCTGAAGCCAGGACTGTGGGCTGGGATTTGCATTGCCCACCGTCATAAAAGCAAGCATAAATTTCACTTACTTCTTCAGCGTGGCAGCCAATGCCAAATCGGGGCGTACATCAAAGCGGCTCTGCATATAGAAGCGCAATAAATTATCGCGTTCATTTTCACGTAATCCTTCCTCGAGTGCTAATGCGGCCAGTGTGTGATAGGATTCTGACTCCGTGATGCCGAATAATAAATCATAACTGTAAGTGAGAGAGAGAGAGACAGGAGCTGGAGTGAGTGAGATAGCGAGAAATGGTCAGGAGGCGGCAAGGAGGAATGGTCAGCGAATGGTCAACATGCATAGTTTGTGTTTGCTCTGGTGAGCTAAAGCTAGTTTTATACACTGAAATTATAATACATATATTTTGAAATACAAGTTACTTTGAATAAACTAACTAAACGGCTACTAAACATCGTGTAAAATAGCTGTATCACCTGATAAAGTTATCGTAAAAATTTAATACAAAGTCTGGTTTCCTGTCAATTTAATATCTCACATTTAGACAATAGACAACAACATTTTTTTAGTGGAAACTTTATCGTTAAGTTAAGACAGTGAGGTTAAAGATCAGTCCTTAATAATGTTCACCTTTTATTAGGCCATTAGTCTACGCCTTTCCGCGCTGTGTACGTTCTGCATGGACGGAACAACAACAGGCCAATGAATTCCCATAAAACGCAGTTAAAAGCACTAAAATAAAACGAGCTCTCGCTCCTGTGGCGTAACTTGTTACGCTGCCTGATAAATGGTGCGACTGGTGCTCGTCTTTGAAAAGTGGTCCACTCCACTCCACACTTCACACCCTGAGCCCTGGATGCTCGAGGTCCCACCAGTGCCACCAGTCCCTCAGTCCCTTAGGCCCCCAACTGGGCATTGTCTTCCTGTTGCGCCGTGGACATGGCATTAAAAGTTCCTCTCAAGTTGGGGCCGGAAAGTTTGTTCCGATAAAAGTAAATGCAAAGCTGCTGCAAAACTTGCTAAATTGAATGGAGATGGAGCTGCCAATGGAATGGCCACCGGACACTTGAGCGATGCTCAGAGCAACACTTTCCTGCACTTCCACACTTGGCCAAGTAGAAGGCTTTAATCCCTGGTCAACGCTGATTAAGGTGATTAAGAGCCACAGGGCCGAGGGGTAACGTTCCGAACAGAAACTTCGGCCATGTGAAACGTGCTTCCCCTGCACTTTCCCAACTTATCCGTGACCTGGAACCGTAGCCGGAACCGGATCCCTAAGCCGGAGCGCTCTGTCTGTTCGCCGTAATTAATGGCTCTTCCTGGCAGCTATTATTCTATTTTTCCCGGTATTGCGTGTCAAACACGTTTGACTTGCAAAAGGATAACAATTAAAATCAAATTAATCACGCATTTTATTAGATTATACCGTGTTAGGTTGACTGAATGGCTAAGCAGCACGTGCCCTAATGTCCTCCGGGGAAATGCGAGTGCCGGATGGCGGAAGAGTCCTGCGAGGAGTTGAGTTATTACTTGTTGCCCAATTGATTGATGGATGGGTGTAATTTACCAGGGGGCAACGAGGCCCAATCCCTCAAAGTAGCTCTTTGATGCGACCTGCCTATTATTTGTTTTGGGGCTTATTGAATTTTATGGGGCTACACGGAGAAAAGTTTGAGCTAGGAATTTCTCTTAAGGGGAGTCGGTTTCCATAGGCTTTCTTGGGCATATCGACTTGTTTATTTTCTGTGCAGACTCGATGTCCTTTAATGTTTCACCTTCAGCTTGACCGCAACTGAACCCAATTTCGTTCCGCAAATATCGCTTGGGGATATGCCAGGAATGGACCAAGGCCCAAAAATAACACCAAACGGGTGTTGAGAGCATTGTTTTTCGTTCGCTGCTTTGAGCCAACAACAAGTGACATTAGAGCCGTAATTTGCTCAATGATAGCTGAGCCAACGCCAACGCAAAATTACCGTGTTAAATGGCCAGCCCAAGCCTCGATTTTCACAGACGATTTGACTTCACCTGAGGCCAAACGCACGGATCGAAAAAGAAATACCAGACGTCTAATCAAGTAACGCACAATAAATAGTCCGGTGAGCTGTCTACCCAACGGAGGAGAAAAAAAAAGGAATGTTTGACAGCTCCCCAAAGCACGGTCCGCCAGTAAATATCAAACGCAGAGGAATTGGCAAAAGGTTTAGGTTAAGGGAAAGGCATTGGCATCGCCAATGGATGTGGATTCAGATGGGGAGGGAATTGCTTAACAAACCGGCTGAAGTGCTCCGTATAATGCCCCATGACCTTGTACGGTTGATTTGGTATTACATGTCCATCGACAATTGGACCCAATGATGTTGAAAATTGTGTGAGCGTCGTTGGTATGTGCAAGATATCCTGGTAGCTGCAAAGAAACAAGAAACGGGACAAAATGCGTTAAAAGGTCTTACGAACGTATAACGGATGGGTATAAAGTACGCTGGATGGATGGATGTATATATATATATAAATATTCCGTGATCCCCGACTGCTTCTGGGATTGCGGCGGCTCAGCCGGCTGACAGCGGTCACTTTTCACTTTGATTTGAAATTTCTAATAAATTTTATGTGCGATTCGTTCGTTGCCGGACACGGACACTCCCCGGCACGTACACATCCTGGCCAGGACTCACACGTGGCCCACATAAAGCCAATGAGATGGCCAGCATGATACACATATGGTCTTTAGGGCATTGCGAAATTACTCCGCAGAAAATTAAGAGGACCATCAGTGGCAAGCCTCACAGGCAGCTCAAAAACATGTAACAGTAACTAAATCCACTAGTAAAAATATTTTGCTGATAAAATAAATTCAATTTTTCAAGACATTAGCTTTGGACATTTCAATTGTATTTTAAAATTTACCCTTTGGGCTTATAAAACAAGTTTGTACTTCCATTTATCCCTGATATCTATTTTTTACAGACCAAACATAACTTCAGGAAGTCAAACTAGGTAATACCTCCGCTTGAACTTAGCTGGTAAAGGGAGATATCTTTGCTAACAAACCCAACAAAAGGTAATAAGAGCATTACGAACAACTCCTATATTTATACCATATATTTCGCAATGATTTCCCATTTACACATATTCAAATTTACATCCCCAGCATCTGAATGCCTTCCCATCAACGTCTGTGCTCTTATCAGTGGGACTCGCCCCCTACATCCTGTAGTTATGACATTTTTCGTAAAGTATTTTTTCCCCCATTCAACGCCATAATAGAGCCGCAATGCAAACCAATTCCCAGACGCACACTCGTGCAGATTTACACTCGTATTTATATATACAAACAGGGGAGAGCACCCGGGGACCGACATAAAAATGCTACGTGTGTATGAAATACAATCAGCACACATATAGCATTGCTCCAACGATCTCTGAAGCTGCTGCTGCTGCTGCTGCTGCTCCTGCTCCTGCAAAGCATTTCCGTTCGGTGCAATATTTACGGTTTTTGCTCTTTTTTCAGCCGCTTGACTAGCTCTTTTGGCCTTCGATTGGACCACCCCCGTGGCCCCATCCCGTGTATTGATACAAAATTGCAGTGGCGAAATGGTTCAGTTGGGTGCAATTTCTGGCATAGTTTGCATAAAAATCCACATGCCAAAGCTCCGACTGAAGTGTCGATGGTACAGAAATTGGCACAAATTAAGAAAAGGACCGACCAAAAAATAAAACCAAACCCGACCAGAGTGGAGGGAAAAAGGTAAAACGAGAATCTGGAATATTTTGGTTGCCCGAGTTGGACAATTGTTATCTGAAAAATGCAGACCAGGAATAAACCAGCTGAGGCAGAAGTAGTAGAAATTCAAATTTCACATTCTGCATACTCAGGCTGGCATAACCTTCGACCAACCTCAGTTCGCATTGTCATAATATTTCGGTCCACCTTTGCTGGGGAATGGCATGCCGGTAAATTAAGAACCAAGAACCCACTTAATCATTCAGTCCTCTCAGTAAGTCAAAGCAGCTCCAAAGGGGGAAAATTCAATTGGAAACGATGCCAGGGATTCCTGGCATCCATTCACATGCTAAGCTGGAAAAAATCCCCAAAATTGCCATCTGTCTGTGGGTGGGTGTGTATGGTGGTGGGTGTTAATTCACTCAACACCTTGGAATCCCACTGAAGAGGAGACATTATCGTAATCCATTTAAGCTGAATGCTGAATGCAGCCATCGATGCAATGCCATCAAACACTCTCAAGTCCAAATAAAGCTTCGTTGCACTTTAAAGGAGTTTAACTTGGCCAAAGTCGCAAAAAATCGAGCAAGAATGTTACACAGCAAGAAACTCCTATTCCTCTAATTTTACTTTATTTAAAGTGTTATAAATAAATAAAATTTAGTAGCAAACAAGCAGTAGTGTTCTTTAATAAATTCCGAATTTGTGTTTCGGTTCGTTTATAAACCTTTCTTGAAGTCATAAAAAAGGTTTTGATCGTTTTTCTTGGTGCAGTCAAGCTCTGTGGTCCATGTTCCTTACTCGACTGGTCATCCTGGCTTCTGGTTCCTGGCTGGCTATCGACACATGCCCAAGTTTATTGCCCAAGTCTGCACCGCAAGGCCAACGGTACGTGAGCTTGTGTTTTGCCTGACTTTGACAATTTGTGAAAGCTGAAACAATTCGGGCGGGCAGCTTTCCCGGGAAAGTTGTGCCGTGACTTGGGGTAAACCTCTTCATCGCTGTCGTTGTCGCTGCTGTGTGATTTATGATTTTCATGAGGGGTAAGAGAGAGTTTAGTGCTGAATCGTTGTTGTTTCTTATTAGCTCGGCTGGTGCAAAACTGTCACAAGTTGAGCTGCAACTGCGATTAACTCGTTAGACACACAATATGTGCGATTTCTCTCTATATATTGTGTGTTGTGGCCCTGCTTCAGATACACAGACACATCGGATGCACAATTTGTCAGTGTGCTGGTGGCAGGAACGAAGATTGATGGTCTTCTTAAGGCTGCATGTAGCTACTTGGCGAAACACATACTCCTTGCTAACTGGCTGCGAGTCCTGTGCAGGCAATCCGAGCATTTATTATGCCCCAGTTTAGCCCTGTTTCTAGTTTGCCATTAGTTGGTATTTGTATTTCTGGCCCAGCTTAAACTGTCTGCATCTGCCTGCTTTCTATTTAATGAATTTTTAATATGCTTCGGCTTTTTATTTTGTCAATTACGAGTGCTCCACTGCCACAGAGCGAGCGCAGGCGCTGCCAAGGCTGTGGATTATTTGTGGGCCAGCACGGCGTATACTCGATATGGCCATTTCACTAACTCCCCTCTCTGTTGTATTGTTAAGACGCTTAAGTACACAAAAAATGGATTTTGCATTCGCCAGGGATCTAAAAAGTATATATTAAATGTTGCAAATCATGAATATTTCAGTACAAATATTTCATTTAATTCCTGTGTTTAGAAACAATCAGCTTAAATAGCATCCGACTGGCAGCTCAAATTCCTATAGTCTCCTTGCGAAAATTCCTGTAATAGTCACCAAAACTTGTATGCAGTAATCAGCTTATCAAAATATTTGTACAAACAGACAGAATATGTTGATGTACAACAGGTAGAAATCGAAACTAATTGCTCATTTTAGGGTCAGGTATGCAATCTGAACAACTGCTATTTTCTATGCAAATCAATATTGTTACAAACTCGGCCAGAAGTAAATAAAGATCACAGGTCCTGTTTGGCAGGCAAACACATTAGACCAAGGCAATGGGTAAATAATTTGAATAAATTAGCAAGTTGCAAAAGCACACATTCGAATCAATGGGCAGGATTTAGGGGAAAAGTTCTATTAAACATTTAGAATGCCTAAGCCCCAGAAGAGACACAGGCTTATGTTCGTCTGTGTGAGTGAGTGTGTGTGAGAGTGGGTTAAACAAATGCTACCATGGCTCTCCATGGTTAGCTTGCACAAGTAGTTGTTACCTGTTTGTATTTCCGTGGCTAGAGCTGGCCCCGGCCTGAGAGTGTATGAGCTGTGTGCCTTTGTAGGAAAAGCGATGAGCACATTTGCTCAGTAATTCATGCATAATTCATTGCATTCATTTAACACTCGCTCCCGCCCCACTCCACACCCATGCCACTCAGGCCCCACTCACTCATTCGCTCACACACACACTCGTTCAGTCCCTCAGTTATTTAAGTAAGCTGCCACACGAGGCTGCAATTCTCAGGCTCAAACCAAAGCTTAGCTCATTCATTAAAATATTCTGTAATAAACTTTTCTGTGAGGGTATTTCTGCTATCTTCGAGGACTTAGCTTTAAGAAAAGGATTAGGGTTAATAATTAAGGGAAATCGTAAGCGTGTGCGACACTTATTTCCTTAAAGGAAGAATTGAATAAATATGATAGAATTTATTGCATGAAAATAATTCATAAGTTCTACTAGATACTAAAATACTAGAGTTACAAGATTCTGTTTTAAGGAAATATTTATTAAAATATAAAGAGTTTCTGATAAATAACCAAAGAAATTAGACAGTAGAGCCTATGCTATTCCTTGTACTCCACTTGCATTACACCAAGAGTTTGCTTCAGCCAAAGTTTTGGCTTGGATCTTCAAGTTACTGTGCCAATTTGTATTAGGGACATGAAAGCAAGTATAAACTTTTTATACAAACACAACCGACTGTTGCATTATTGTGTTTGTTTGGAGGCTGCTTGTGAGTGCGAGTTGGCATAATTAACATAATTACTATTATTGTGCCGTTGTTGATTTAGTTTTACATATTTAGTTACATGCGCCTTTTTTTTCATTTTGTATGCAAATTGTTTTTTAGTTTTCTCCCTTGTGCTGTGAGCGACGCATACAAATGAAGACCAACACACACACACAAGCACAGAATTCTGCTAAATAAAAAAATGCATTTAAGTCTCGTCGGGTTGGTTTTCAGGCGTTTTTTGTGGCGAGTCCTTTAATGGAAGGGAGGGAGCCTGGGTATTCTGATGGGTTAAGCCGCTGAAATGCGTGCAATGAATATGAAATGTAAATACATTTTAGTGAGAGATACTACTGGTGTTTTATCGGGTGCCTCAATGATAATATTGGTATAAATTACAGGATTGTAAGCTGTAATTACTTAACTATGTTGATGCAATTGCGCAAAAAAATTGTAAGTCACAAGGATATAGGTTTCTCAATTACATAGTCAGCATAAGAGAGGAATAATTACAAGAGTTTTAAATTTTACTTGTGGAATTTAAATGATAATTAAAGTTTTATTGAGTATTTGTTCAGCAATTAAGCTTTAAATGTTTCTCCTAATGACTAACTGTCAAATATTAATCGATATATATTTAGTTAAAATTAAAACCGAGCTCAATAAGCAGCAATAAATATACTAATCAGGCATTTAATTAGCTGATGTTTGTAATAATTATTTAATGTTGAATATTATTTATGACCTTCCATAGATTACTTTGTAAAATTGTAAAGAAAATAGATATACATTTTGGAAAAGGACCCTTAAAAATGCTTTCCTACTTAAACTCGAAGGGCCTTTACTTAAACTTGACAAATTAATCAATTAAAAAGTAATTAAGTTGAAGTACGGCCATCCATCACCTACTCAATGGGCGTTCTTCCGCCCCTTTTTCGGGAGCAAGCTAGGTCAAAGTGGACACGGAAGATTACTGGTAATCGCCATGCAAATGCCCAGGCATCGACATCAACATTATGCGTGATTAGTCAAGGTTCTGTGGCCTGTATGGGTGGGGGTATAAAGGACTTAACGCCCCATTGGCATCGTGGCGCATCAAACTCGTAAATTTAACCGAATCATTAGGCAGGGCACAAAGCCTCCAAATTCCGTTGGCCAGACGAACTGAATCAGTGTCCTGGACAGATGACAAAGGACACTATTTAGATGAAGATGGCCGCGATAATGAAGTTGACGAATTCGAATTCGCCACAAATTGAACTAAGTGAAGAGATGAGTCCCTGTAATTCATCTACCGAATTATATCTCCAGAGAAACTATTACAATACCTATTATAAAGGTATTAATGGACAATCATCTCGAGCATTCTATGACCTAATCAAGTGAAATAAACTGATATTGCAACCTCCACATTTCTCCCAGCATTAGCGGGCATTATGGCTGTTTATAATGCTCCCCCATATCGCTGATGCGCTTGTTGTCGGCTCTAAATAATTCAATTGGTCTAGGACTACTCACCGACGATGGCGAAAACAATCGAGCAGGACATCATCGTCCTCCGCCTCCACGTGCTCGTTGAGCGGACAGTCGAGGGCATGGGCTATTTGCATGGTCAATTGCAGCGACTGATTGCTGGCGGCCCAGTCGGACATGGCGGATCCGGACATTAGGATGGCGCGATGGAAGAGACCTGCGGCGAGTGTAATAGACCGAAGTGGCTTCTAATCGAGTTATTTCGGCTGAAGTGCATCCCACTCACCTGAGGCCACCGGCGATACCATTAGATAATTGACACACGCCGCTCCCGTGCTGTGTCCCATAAGCGTGACGCGCGAATTGTCGCCGCCAAAGGCACCGATGTTCTCCTTGATCCAGTGAAGGGCTGCTATCTGATCGAGCAGGGCATAGTTGGCTATATTGTGGGCATCGATGCTGGGCCGCAGGAAACCTAATTATCGAATCAACCAATTCCTCTGGTTAAATGGATGAAAAAAATCTCAAATACCCACGGGCACTCACCCAGCACTCCCAGGCGGTAGTTGACGGTCACCACAATCACCTCGCCATAACTTGACAGGACTGATCCATCATACGGATTGCCACTGTTCCATTCGAAGGACTCGCCGTGCAGGTAAACCAGAACGGCATACTGCTTGGGGGCACTCAGAGTTTCTAAGAAATGAAAGAGAAAAAGCCCTCGTTGAATGTCCTCAGCCCACACCTTTAATTTTTACATCGCTTTTAGCGAATTTAATTTATCCCAAGGACTCACCATCGTGCGGCACATACAGGTTGAGGTACAGGCAGTCCTCGCTCTCCGTTCGCAGGTAGGGCAGCAGACGACTCAGGTGTTTTTGGCGGCCGCGAGACATGTTACCGCTGCCATGGGGCGGGATGTCCGGCAACTTTTGAGGACAGACCGGTGGTAGGTGACGGGCTATCTTTAGGCCCTGCCAAGGCAAGGGGGCACCTGAAAAGGGACATATTCATTTATGGTTTAAAAATGTAGAGGAAATAATCAAGCTTATGAACTGGAGCTTAAACATACATAATTTAAGGCCTGTGATTTATACTTAAATTGAGATTGTAAACTAAAAACTAATAGAGATTTCTTCAATTTAATCTTATTTAGGTTTAGGCTATCTATAGGAACAACTTATGTTTACGTGAATTAATTTCTTTTGCATTCCGCACACATTCTTTTGCAAATTCAATAAGAACGAAGAAGGCGAAGAGGCATAAAAAATGACCCCCTAACCCATTGTGGCCAAGCACATTGCGCTATTTCCTGTCGCCTCTCCGTTTCGCAGCCATTCGATTGCTTTGGGAGAGCTGTGTGGCCAAAAAGTCAATTCCGTATTTATGTAACACGGTCAACAGGCACTTGAAAACGCCATAAACAAGCAAGCACACACACACACCACACATCCTGCACACAAGTGCCATCGGAGACCAAGGGACACTCGTGGCTCGGTACAGTGTTTGGTCCTGTCCGGATCCGATTTCGATTTCGATTTCGAATCCGATTCGTGGCCAAGTTGACTGCGGTTACGCTTTGGTGTTGCAGTTAACGTCAAACCGTGCTCTCAGATGCGGAGAATCTTTGGTGAATGGTCAACCGCGATTGGGTCAAGTTAGTTCGGATTCCGGTCACTGCATGCAAGACCCACTCCTTGGTCCCTGCTCTGCGGTTGGGAGCAGTCAGGGAAAGGCAGCTGCACATCCATATGGGTTGAGTGGCTGCCAGTCGCTTACGAATTTTGACACCACATTGTTACGGCTTCAGCTTGTTTTGCGGTTATTTGGATTACGATCGATCCGTAGATGCTGGGGCTTAGGCAAATTAAGTGGCTTCAATCAGACCGAGATGATTGAAAATATTATTGCATAATCGAGCATGCTCTGGGTGCGTGCGGCTTTGGGTTCAGTCAACTCAATAACAGCATTAACACGCGATAATTGATTCAACTTCAACAACTGCCACGAAATTTAAATTCAAACAAGTTTATTCATCAAATATAGGGGGGAAGTCCCCCGCAAATCAATACCGATTTCAATTTTGTTGCCTCGAAAATATGCAACATTTACACTTTGACACATTCGCGGCAGAGAAATTTCATTTTGACGCGTTATTGTGCCATAAAAATGCGAAGAAAAGAGCAAACTCCAAGCGTTAGGGGGGGACTCGTATCCAATATCCGGATGTGAACATTATTTGCATTTTGTTATTAATAAATTTCGCAACAGGCGAAAGGAGAGGCGAAGCTCCAATGGGAATAGAAAGCGCGGACCGAAAGCAATGTATGCTATATTTGTTCGGTTGCTGTGCACAAACAAAACCCACAGGACTCTGTTTGCATACGGGTTGGAATGTCCTCCTCCGCTTTGACAGGCATCCCCCACACATTACGCATACGCAACGTGAGCATATTTGCATTGGCTGATATTTGCGCGGCGAGTTTCAAGGCAACTTGTATCGGCATCAGCGACTGCCGCTGCCATGTTTGCAACGCCGCACACAGCCAACAACTTCCCCTGACAAATTTGGCGTCGCCGCCTGTCTCCAGTTGCTGTTGCTGCTGCGATGTGTTGCCGCTGCTGTCCGCTCGGATTGAGTGCACGGCCCTCAAGTGCTCAATAAACTCAGTGCGACAAACGGCGGAGTGCAAACTGAAAGCTGCAACTGGAAACTCACACACAAATCGCGGGCAACACTTTCGACAGCCCCCGGGGCGTGTTAATTTATTGTCTTTACGTAATGCAATGCAAAGCCATGCTCCTATGCCACACTTGGCTTGCACTCGAAGTATTCAGTTGAAACTAACAAGTTTTGAACTACAAGAGACAGAAAATATCGATATAAGGGTAGTGTGTAGTTATTTGAGGAACGAAATACCCTTCTCTGAGTGTAGAATAAATGAAACTAGAGAACCATGTGGCAAGGAGGAAGTTGTGGTGCGAACAGTTGGAACTGCGGCCTGTTTATGGCGAAAACAGCAGGACAAAGCACCAAACTCTGGCTGCTTGGTGGCAGCTTGGCGACCACAAATCTCCCAGAACAATTGCCACTGCCCACATGAATCATGTTTAGATAAACAAATTAAAAACACATATAATAATAGCAATTCCCATTCTTAATTAAACAAGCAAAATATTCATGTACAAGACCCGAAACATAATCGCCCGGCATATGGCCAGGAATCGAATGAATGAGCAAACTATGGCCAGCTTGGATTTACATTGCAATCCTTGTAAAAACAAGCTGCAATAATAATAGCCATTCGGGACAGAAAACACACAGTCACACAGGGACAGGGACAGGGACAGGGAGGACGTGCCTTAAGCCCCGACATCCTGCCGGATCGGTGTGTTGGAGAGGGCACATGTCAGGTTTTGAGAGCCTAATGCCGGGCCAGCTCCGACGATAATTGCCTAAATTGCAGGCTAAATTCTAAGTGCCCCAGCAGCATCCCCGGAACCCAGGACCAGCAGGATGTTCTTACACGGACACCAGGCGGAATGCGGCCGGCATGTGTCGGCAGCTCCAAGGAGTGTCCGCCGCTTTCCGAAAATCCCCTCACCGCTCGCTCCACTTTCAGGTTTTGGGGCTCTCGGGCTCTCGGGCTCAGAGGTTTTTTGGGTGCTGCAAAGTGGCAATTTGCCATCATATTTGCGGTCACAAATAGTGCCGGCTGCCTGCCTTCGGCGAAAGGTCCAAATAGCTAGGATTTTCCCAGCTCATGTGGTGCCCTTAACTGCAAAAGGGGATCACCCCGCCACTTACTTTAAATACTATTCTCATAATTTGTATGTAGTTACTTCAATAGAACTGACACCTTTAGTTGGATTTAGGAACAATAGAAAGCGGACCAAACAATCAAATTATTGTTTATTGTTTCGCCTACATTTCGTTGAAATATTTCATACGAAAAGGCGGTGTATTTATAAATAAACAATCAAATATTAAATATGTACACATGTTCGCATTTAGCTGGCAAAACGCCTAGAGGATCTATGTTATTCTATTGTAGTAAACAAAAGTCCAACAATGAGAGCTTATTAGTAGGGTTTTATAATTCTAACTTAAGGTTTAAATATATTAATATGTTTAGGTCATTATTTAATAATAATTTTGTATATTTATCTTTTTCTGTTAGAAATTTAATGTTACTAAATTCTCACCTGGCGGCATAAAGCGTCGACTGCCAGTGGGCGCCTCTGCATAGGGCAGGCCCAGGTATTGGTCCACCTCTTTGAGGCCGCTGGTCACCTGAAAGCGACGGGTGATGCCCATAAGGCGGCCCTGCTTCACCTGGATCTCCTTGGTGTACTGCAACTTGTCGGGCACCACATGTCGGCGTCCCGGATGATGTGTGGTTGTTGCTTCGCCGCGGCTGGGATCTGTGGCCAATGATGAGGCCACGGGATTGTCACTTGCCACGCCACTGGGCGTTTCATCGCTGGCAAAGAGCTGTGCCATTGTCTCCCTGAAATACAGCTCCAAATCCGGGGACGATGGAGTGACGGCCTTGGCTCGCCGCATCGCATGATGGCCAATCAATCTGCCGGCTGTGGATGCGGCGGTGCTGGTGGCGAGAGTGGCGGTTGAGCTATCCGGATGAGCTGTTGTCGTGATGTCCCCAATAAACCGAGTTTGCTTTGAGGTTACACGCAATTTCAGTGCATTTTCCAGTTCATTTCCTGTATGCCGCTGCTCAGTTGAGGCCATCGCCATGGCCATGCTCCCAGCGCAATCATGGCTTAATTGCTTGTGATTGCCGCCAACTGTCAGCAAAAATAGCCAAAATGCTGCCAAACGAAACTTCATGGCTTTGCTTTCTGCCCCGTCGGGATTGTCCTGCTTTGTGCTGCTCCTTTCTGTATTAATTTTAGTCCTTGCAAACTTTTCACATTCCGTCAGCTTTCCCGAATTACTAATTGTTTTTCTTTTTGCAGTTTGTTGCCTTCTTTGTTGTGTCCAAATCCGAATCGCTCACATTTTCCGGACACCGTATTTACATGGAGTTTCCTTGAGCGTCTTAAATAGTTTTTTGCCACTTTATTTACTTGCGATGTTTAGCATGTTCTTTTGTCCAGGCCTCGCGTTTTTTCCGTATTTCATTTGCTGCGAAAGTTTTCACTTCTCCTTTTGTGTGTCAAAACTTTGTATGCCAGAAGAAAAACACAAAGAAAATGTGGGTGAAAAACACTAAGTAAACTGAAGTCGGCGTCCAACAATTTCATTATTCTTTAATTTTTCTTTAACAAGTTGTTCCCTTATTCTGTGATTGTTTCTTTCTGTGAAAGTTTTGTTTACTTTAGAAGGGTCAGCTTTAACATGTTTATTGTGACACTTTTAAACGGGTTTTATATTGTTTTATTTTCTTATTATTTTAATGGGAAAATAGAAATCCCCTATATGTGAATAAATATTCTTCTAAAAATACAAAAAACTCAACAGAACTATTCAAATATTCATTGAAATGTACTCTCACCCATCAGAATAGATTCTGATTGAGTCATCTCTAAGTTTCCATACTTCTACTGCATTTTCCAATTGACATGCCCTTCTTCTGTGTGCGGCACCAAATCAATGTGCTGTTCATTTTCAGAATTTCAAATATTATTTTAAGACTTTCCATGGAACGTTGGAAGTCATTTATTTATAGTGGCCCATTAGTTATGAATGCCTTTTGGCTTTTGACTTTGTCAAATCGATTCGATCGAAGTGAAGTGAATAGGAACGAAATGAAAGGAGCTTGCGACTCTCTATTCGAGGGATTTCCATGCCGAATGCAATACGAATATTGTTAACAAATATGGGATGACGAACAAACGTCCGTCATTCATGTCCTGACATATGGCAAATGATTTCAGAATTTAGTGGCGTGTAGTTTCCACATTTGCGTAACGTAAACAAAGAGCCTCCGAATGGAAAAGCCGTAACATCCATAACGAAAGATTTCCCATGACGATTAATCATAAAACCGAAAACACCAATGAAAATTCAATTAGGTTCCTCTGTTTCGCCTCCATCTCGATTTATGTCGAAACGCCAGCGAAGTGAGCTAATTCGCTATAAAAGTAAAGCAAATGCAAAATCTAAAAATGAAAAGGAATGTTTTTTTACGAGTCCGCTAAGAAAAGACCCAGTGGCGTAGAAAGGGGAGGGGAAAACACGCTGGGCCCATGTGTGTGCGGGAACTTTGAATGTGTCGTGAATGTATATCAAAATAATCACAAAGCACTGACACACTAAAAGCATTTTTCACAATAATAACAAACTAAAAAGAACTAGAACATTTTAAGAAAGAACAAAAATAAATACGAAGGAAGATATGGGATGCTGAAAAGTGAATGCCCTTCAGGAGATATAGCTATTCAGTAATATTAATAATTTAAAAAAAAGCTTTATTGGATTTAAGATAGTGTATCTAAAGTAGATAATGAAAATATTATAACATATAAATCCCTTAAAAAAGTCTAGCTAAAAGATACAAAATTGTGTCAGAAAATTGTTTTTTAAACATTCCACTTAGAATCACTTGTATACATCACCCAATTTATTAATAGAATATAGATAAATAAGCCGGTATAAATGTTGAATATTATTTAAATCCCAAACAGAAATAAATGTGAATATAAATCATATTTTTCCTTATTTTCTTGCCTTGCGAAAAGAGCCATAACGCTGATTTTAGGGCATCACCAAATGGCAAACAACCTAGAGAATAATAAAAAATCTTTTAAAATGATTTCGTTATTTATTACATTTTTTTTCTTCGACCTTATGTGTGCAGAGGTTGTAGCCATATATGTTTGTGGATGTTTGCATCAGAAAGAAACACTCACATAAATGTCAAGGTACATTGGCTGTGAACATAAAATTGACCTCTTGCTAAACGCTAGGAGTGGAAAACGGAAAAAACGCTGCCGAAGTGGAGTTTTTCCGAGCACTTGGGCAGACCTCTCATAAATTCGCCCACCAACCAACTCGCAGGGAAGCTAATTGAGTCAACACGACTATCTGTTATGGCTTTTTCGTATTTTTAGAGCGAAATGAAATGGAAATTCAATGCTATTTCTGTGCCTTTTTTCTTGGCATTCACACGGCTTAACGTTTCCACTAAGTGAAAGTAAATTAAGACAGCTGTCGGTATGCAATTTTAAGGGGAAAACAAAAAAAAACTAAAAACAACCGTGCAAATGCTAGTTCCACAAATACCTGCACTTCAAATGGTTCTAATAAAAAATAAATAACACAGGGGAATAGAAACTCGGCGTCAATGCAAATTTAAACAAAATGAACAGCGTTCAAAATAAACATCAAGTGCTTAAAAATAAAAACGAATGAGCAAAAATATTCACGGAATTTCGACTGCATTGTCCGCGCACTCCACGAAATGTCGTCACCAAAGGCAAAAATAAATAAATAGAAGAATTTGCGAAAATAAAAGCGGAATCGCAAGAAAAACTTGCTAATTGCTAGTTGGCAGCTGGCAGCTGGCGAAGAGGAAACTGCACCAAAAGGAAAATGGGAAAACTAGAGAAACACAAGAGAGTTGGAAGGCAAAATCAGGGAAAAGTGCAATTGGAATTTAAGTAAAGTGATTTGATTTGGATTATTCTGTCGCGAAGTCACTTATTTTCTGCCGGTCCACTTGTCTTGGTCAAAACAATTCGAAGAATGCTTTTCTTTCGCTGATGAAGTCACTCAGCTGAGCAGTTGGCATTTCGATTACCGAAGCACACAATTTGTGGGTCAATTGGTGTGCCGCCATGAACACAAAGTATTTTTGTGGCTAGCACTTATTTCAGTGTCATCCCAGAGAAATTCTATGAAATCCACATACTCTTTAGACGAGCCCATTCGTTCGGTCTTTAATATTCACTACCGCTGAACCCAGGGAGTGCTCTGCCATCCTGAATAAACTTTTAATAGGTTTCGAAAAGGTATCCTAATCCATAAGCAACGTAATCGATAGCGAAACACTTTCGACATAGTTTCAAACCAGATGTGACAGTGTCATAAATTATATTCCAACAGCGTTGTAACAATTCCGGCGAGAGTTCCTCCAACGCTTTTGTGATGCAAATGGCCACGTAGCGGCAGGGGTCCCGTGGGTTAAGCCCCCCCACCGCAACACCCTTTAGCCACCCCTGAAAAACAGCATTGTATATCCCTCGGACACAGAGCAAAATTTGCATAATTAGCACAGAAATGTAGACGCATTGAAAGCTGTCACTTGTGACACGCGAAACCAAATGACAACTATAAAGTACGCGCACACAAACAACAACAAATTAGTGGCAACTAATTTTAGCCAACTTGCAGAAAACAACATTTGGAATTGGGCAAATGCACAAATGCGACAAAAAGTTCAACAAACCCCGGCTAAATGCAAGAGATCGGGCCGAATTATTTCGAATTATGAGATTTATTTTTAGCCTCCCTCGCGAAAAACACACACAAAAATTGTGCACTCCGCCAGTGGGCGGTGGGCGGTGGGCGGCAGTGCAGTGTTTTATCGCGCAAATTAAGTGAAATGTTTATTTTTAAATAATTCGGTTACTCGGAACACAAAAGCAAATAATTTGAATTTGTTTACACAATTGTTGTGTGCCTTTGCAAAGGTCTCGTTGTAGTAAGCTCTCGAATAAGCGATATATCTAAGGATCTGCGTATTAAATGTGGAATTTGGAGCATCCATTCTGTTCGTCTATCTAGTAAATAACTAGATATAAATCCGGCTCGTGGGATAATCTGCTCAAAATAATTTTATTTTGTATATCCAAAATATTTATTTTCCTTTTGTTTTATTTTGTTTATATGTTAACATATTTATGCGCGGCACACAGCACTCTTTTCTGTTCCTGCTTTCCGTTTTTATGAATTTTATATCCAATATTTTTTTTTAATTTATATCAGAATTTTCATATAAGTTGAGTTCAAAAAAAAAAAAAACTCGACATATTTTCACATTTATTAATAATTTAAAACTTTTTCTTTGGCGAAGAAAAATATTCATTAATTGATGCAAATCGACATGATACTCGTCGAACACAGAAATTCTTTTGGAAATTAATTTTCACGGGTTATTTGTACGTTGCCTTGCCGATAATTATGCGAGTTGAGAATTTCTCAATATTTTTATTTACCAATTTTCGGCTGATTTGTTTTAATCTTTGATCTAGCCGATAGATGCGCAAAACAATTTTGGCAGAGCCGAGGCTCAAATATTTTCATTTGTCACTTTCAGTGGGTTTGCACAAATAAATCGACGATATTTTCGATTCCTTTTCATTCAGTAACGATTGCAACACACTCGAAATAAATCACTTTGGCAACTTTTCCTACTTTTCCGAACTGATTAACTTTGGTGCCTTCCTCGCGTAAACATTTTCACTTGAGCACTTGGCACGCGCTCTGTTTTTGTCCCCCTTTTGCAGATATTTTTTCACGGCGTTATTTTTGGATCACGCGCAAGATTTATTTCACTTTTGCTTGGCTTGGCCTAAGAACATTCCCCCAAGAGCTGAGAGCAGCTGAGGAGCAATCCACAACCAACGCGATCAACGTTCAAACTGCAACTGTTCGGGGGCCTCATCCGGCGGAAGAATTGCCGGGGACTCTCCGGTTCTCCTCGCGTTGACAATGCTCTTCGCTTAGTTGAGAGAATTCTGTTTTTATGCCAGAAAAACTGGCATAAATTATAGTGTTTCTTGTTGAACGAGATCCTAAGCAAAGAGCTAATACAAAACAAATACTTAAGAGCGTGTTTTAATTTGGTTTAAAAGAGAAATATTTATTGAGTTTGTTGGTAAAGATTTTATACATTTTGTTTACAGCCGTTGTAAGCCTTTTTTAAATTGAAAATATTACACCTTTATGCTCCAGTTTTGGTTTATCCTAATTTATTCACCTAATGTATGGGTATTAAGGTACATATTTCACTAGCGGAAATTACCTATTAATATGTAGGAAGTAATCAGAGATGGCTTTACTTTCCCCACATTTCTCTTATCTCACCTAGGCGAAACTTCCGCCACTTCCGCTGCTTCATTAATATACAAATAGACTTCTTTTGATGCCGAGTGGAAAGATTTCCGTATTTCTTCGTTTCTCTTATCGTAGACTTCCTGCCGCAAATCTAGCTCTCTCTCCAAGTCCAAGTGCACGGGCAGAGTCAAGTTAAAGCCTTAAATCAGCTTGGCTCTTGGCCAAAAAGGAGAAGGAAACGAGAAAACGAGCATCTGACCCAAAAAGTACACGGCTAAACTCGGTTCCAGGTTTAGGGCCAACGCTTTTTTGCATCTCAGTACATGCAGTGCCTAAGTGACTCGATTGACTTCTTCATTGTGGGTGGGTGTGGCACTTCATCACCAATTTGGCGAGGCTACTGGAAAACCAATGGACTTTGACGGTGATTGTTGGTAGTGATGTTCAAAGAAAATCTCTAAGATATCAAGGTTACCTTGTACTTAAGAAAATTAAAGTATTTAAGCTTGAAATTTAAACAATTATTCTGTTTTACTTGGTAGAAATGGTTTAAATAGTAGATTAAACTTAAATTTACTTTAAAAAATAAGAAAAGATAGTACAAATTTGCATAAAATTCAGAACTAAATCAAAGCTCATTGATTAAATACATATTAGAGATACTTTTAAGATAGTACCCAAAGGTACATGTGGATCCTTCTCAACACTATATCCTAGCAAAGCCAGCTTTTAGATCCACTTTTCGCACCTTTCACACTCAATTTCTGGAGAAAAAAAATTGAAAAAACCGCTGTTAGTGTCGCAAGTTTCCACATAAGGTTTCCACTTTTCCTTCTTTTTTCTTTGCTGACATTTCCAACCTTTACCAGGAATCGGGGGAAATTGATTTACCCGGCTGGCAGACATTTTGAAAGTATCCCGAGTAGCTAATTTACGACCATCAAAGTGCGCCAATAAATTTCGTTTAATTGCAAGTTAATTAAAATCGAAGCCCCACGCCCTAAGACTCGGTACACGAAAATATACACACGTTCAGTACCACGAAACGTCAGCAGGGAATTTAAAAATAAACCAAACGGGACGTCAACAAGGCGGCTGCCGCATATATTGCCGTACAATATTCAACGAAAAATCATAAAAATACGTATAAAACGAATTCATAAAAATGCGGAAAATATCAAGTTAATTGAATTATTTAAATATCTAGCAGAGGCCACTATTGGATTTTCCATCCGAAAATTGCAATGCGATTTTCTCTTCCCATTTAGGACGGCCCCACAGAGTTTTTCCATGTGAAGCAGTTCGTTGTGTCCGGCTGTCAGTTTATCAAGAAATACATTATTCATCTCAAAGACTTTTCAAATGCCATTTTCATTTTCTTTCTCGTATTTCCCAATAGTTTCATTTATATGAATACCGTTTTATTTTTAATTTTTGTATATTTTGGTTGTGTTACTTGTGGCGCTAGAGGTGCCAAATGGTTTGCATAAACAAATTAGACCATTTTGTTTACAAATTGAGCGTGGGTCGATAAATGGAAATTGCTCAACTTTAAACCATGCAACTTTTGTGCCTTGACATTGCAAATTATAAGGATGTTTTGTCAAGTTTTAAAAGGGAAAGTAATTGATTTTTCTACAATGTTTTTGTGAACTTTCGCCAGTAGCATAAATATTTTTGTCCAAAAGAAGAGAGCTACTGCTTGCGTAACCCGATATATTTTCCATACAATTATTTTATTTATTTAAGGATTTTCCATGTTGTTAAGCTTCCATGCTGAATTTTTATTCAAAGCCTGTCAGTTACTTAGACATGGCTTAAATAATATTGTTTTATTTATATTTTAAGCCTTTTCTCTGGTTGCTTCTAAACATTTTAAAGGGAAAACTAATAAAAATTTTAAAACTAACTGCATTTCCTTTTGGCTTTTTGGCCATTTCGACTTGATCTTAACCAGTTTTTCATGCTTAACTTGAGCCAAGCTCATTATGTTTCATAACTGGCTGACATTTTTATAACCCATCCGATTTGCTGCTCCACTAATTCCTTGCCAACCAATTTGCCACATTCAGACAGGGTCAGGGATCCGGGGGCCGAATGGCTTGCAATTTGCAATCTAATTAACTTCGATTCCTTTGGCAAGGACATTTACATAATTGCATTTCGTGGAGCATAATTCTACCACGGGCCACGCCCACATTCAGAGCTACATAGATAAGAAAAAAAATTAAACCATCGCAATCAAGTTAAAAACGAAAGTCCAAAGGATAGCTGAAAGAATGGAGCTGAAATTAGAAAAGCAAAATGACAAAAAAGGAGACGACTACGAGTGTAATTGTGTTTTGCCGCTACCACTGCAATTGGGTCCTTTCTGGCCATATGGCGGCCACATTACACCGAGTTAAACGAAGGCCTTGGAGCAGGAAAAAAGGAGCAAGAGCGTCAAGAAGAAAGGCAACGGCGCAAAATGAAAGCCAACTCTAATTAAGTTGGCAATGGTCAAGCTGCACACACAGACACACACTCACAAAAAATGCGGAGTAAGCGTCCTTTTTTTAAAAAAACAACTTTCCGCAGATAGCGGGCAGGAGTCCCATCTCCACAGGCCACAACGGATGATTTAATTGAAGAGTGCACTGGGCCAGGCCAAATTATTTTGTGCTAATTATATGCCCTAAGCCGGGGAGTTATGAATGCAGTTAAATGCTCTTGGGCAGCCATTTCCCTTAAAACTATAAGGCCAAGAAGCGGAGACTCCTCCAGCCCGAATTTAAGTGTTTGACTTGGGGCTGCCGGCGCTGTAAAGTGAAGAGCAAATAAATTAGCCAAAAAATAGCCCAAGAAATGCCCCCAAGAAATGCACTTAACTTTGGCTTGTTGACTCGCTGAAAAAAAATTATATAAAATGGAATACAAAAAAGCCGCTTGGGTGGGTGAGTGCACAGTAAGAAATTTAAGTAAACAACGGGTTTGGCCTAAATAAGAGAATTTAAAGTGAAAATAACTCAAGACAAAGGCCATTTTATTATTAAGATTTATTTATCTATTAAAATATATATATTTTAAGTACATTCTGTTAACAATATACATTATTATTTTACTTATATATTAAGTATTATATGTTTGTCTTTAATTAAACAGTTTTTCCTTCCCAGTTTGTCTCTAAAATTAATTTATAATTAATACCAAAAAAGCCTTTAAATTATATATAAACATAAAAACAACTTAAACTTACCCAGCTTAAATTATATAAATTTAACATTTGTTCAAGTGTTCGAGGCAGCAAAAAAGGCAATCTGAATTATTGCAAACTTATTCTCTGTCGCTTCATTTCGGCTGGAATTCCGCTCCGTAAACTTGGCCCGAAAGTTCCCGCTAATCAGGATGAATTCCTCCACAACAGTACGAGTCCTGAGAACTAAAATTGAAGTGGTCCAAAACCAATTGAGCAGAAAACACAGCCGGCAGCCAGAAGAGCCTTCTCTTTTGGGCTTTTGGGGCAGTAAATTTGGCGTAAAATAGGCTATTGATTTTCGAGCTCAACTGGGCTTAGTAAACTGCCGAAATTTAACTAAACTTAGCCAAACCGTTAACAGATTTGGCTCCTTGTTGCGGTTCGTGTATTTAAGATCCCTGGTGCATATACAAATGAATCAGGCAGTGAATTTAATTCGTTGGCATTTAAGTGCTCGAAGTTCCCCGGAGACTCTTTCATTCCGAATCTGTCTTTCACTCAAGTATAATATAAATGACACTCATTTACACTTGTCGCCCTCGGGCTGGTCCACAAAAAATACAAAAAATAAAGAAAGAGGAAAGAAGAAACGAGGTGTATATAAACGTTAAGTAAACAAAATCCTCACGAAAAGGAAACTAAATCAAAACGAGGGAAATCCTCGGAAAAGTGGCGTCCAAAATAGAGTCTCCTCTTCAAGTGGTCGGCCCTGGAAAGTTGCTAGAAAAAACATGGCAACTGCTGAACGACCAGACTCTGGACTGTCCACTTGTATTAAAGGAAAAACGCCGCAGGCATTTTAAGTGTTGTTAATGCCGATGCGGCGGCGGTACGAAAGTTTTTCCTCTGCACAAATGAAACAAGTTTTCCTCTAGTTTTCCCTTTTTTTCGGGGCACATCCGCTCTCAGGCTCCTCGCTTTACCATTTTTATGCATTTATAAAAAACTAAAGGGACTGCAAACTGAAATGCAAACCAGGGAAAGTTGCGCCACTTTTTGTTAACGCGTGGCTGCCTACGTGTGTGTCATCTAGCCCAAGTCCCAGGTCCCTTCCTTGCCCATCTCATTTGGGGTCAGTTTCCATTAAAGTGGTCACCACGCTTGGTGGTCAGCAGTCGGTCCATGTAAATGGCATTTCGAGATTGTCTGCAACTTGCAGCGAGAAGAGGATTAAGCAATTCCTTTCATCAAACACTGCCGGGCCAAGTTTGCTTTCAGAATTGTTGGGCACAAAATTAGATCATGCTAAATAGTTGCAAATTGTTGAGCTCGGTACCTGTACCTGTGACTCGTTTCTCAAAAAGGTTTAGGGTTCAAAAATGTAGAAATTTAAT